GGACCTAGGTATTCCTAGAGGGAACATATTCCTAACATATTCCTAAATCCGCAAAAGTCAAAGCTGCAAATGTAGAGAGATGAGTATAATTTAATTCATTTTATATTGATGTTCTGCCATATATACCTTTTTTAAAGTTTTTAAGGGAAACACTGGGAAAAGATCATGTTTCATTGACATCAACACTGAAACACATTTTGGCTTGGCCATATATAAATGTATACAATACTCCTGAGCCAGACTGGTATAATGGTTTGAGTGTGCACTTGGCTTGTGGGAGACTAGAATTTGGATCCCCACTCAGCAATGGAAATGCACTTGGGCAGATTTCACTCTCTCAGCCTCAGAGGAAAGCAATGGAAAACGTCTTCTGAAGAAATCTGGTCAAAGAAACAAAATGACAGGTCCGCCTTAGAGACACATGAAGTTGGAAACAACTGGAAGGCACACAGCAACAAATGAACAAATGAAACCAGAAGAACATCAACAACAATGGCTGAGATCTTGCACTGCCATTGCGTTGCTCTGTCTCCATAGTTATGACTGATGATTCCTCCCCTACAACCTGCCTTCCCACTCTGTCAGTGCTCAACCAAAGCATTTCTGAGGTGCTGGAGACTAAGGCGCTGGTAGATGATGTCTGCTGCATGCTGAAGGGTGCGGAGTGCTTTCATAATGGCAACCAGAGAGACTGCTTAGGGTTTTGCCAAAACTGTGCGTCCCAAGGCACCCTGCAACCAGAGAAACACGGCGGGTTTCATTTCCCAGCACTCCAATCTCCAGCATTTCAGAAGCACTTCAGTTAGGGTGCTGCCAGGCTGGGAAGGTAGGTTTTGGGGATTGATTGTTTGTGTAAGTTCAGCCCGTATGTCCAGCTTACAACACTGTACCTGCTGATCAGGATGCCAGCCCATAATAACCATCACCACCACAGCACCCACACCATGCCTATAGACACTTTTATTTGGAATTAATTTATTTCCAGCCACCACCCAGCTTGGAGCCCATGATAATACCAACATTTTGGCCTATGACTGTTTAGGCCTGGGAACTTGAAAATGCAAAGTACCTTTCAATACAAGGAAAGTTAAGGTAGCAACCGCTGAAGCAACCTGATTTCTAACCCTCCTGCCTATAAAATCTGACATCATCTTGAAATGCTTCCTGTAAAAAGTAAAGCAAACATGGAAATGGCCTTCAAAGGGAGTAATTAAACAGCAAGAACCTGGTATAAGCACATCCTATGTGGTTTTACTAGGCCTGAAGGCCAAAACAAACTCTTGCTTACGTAGAAGATCCTGAGATATGTGTTCTCTCTCTCTCATTCTACTTTGTCTTTTATTTTCTTTTGGCTATGCCTCGGACTAGGCCTACATCTGCATTGCAGAAATAATCCAGTTTCACACCACTTTCATTGCTGTGGTTCAATGCTATGAAATTCTGGGAACTGTTATGGAACCAGAGCTCTCTGACAGAAAAGGCTAAATGTCTCCCCAGACTATAATTCCCAAAATCCCATAGCACTGAGCCACAGGTTAAAGTGGTGTGAAACTGGATTATTCCTGCAGTGCAGATGTAGCCCAAGTCCCACCTCCCACTCCATTCCAACTCTGTCTTGTCACAGAATCATAGTTGGAATAGGCCACAAGGGCCATGCAGTCCAACCCCCTGCCATGCAGGAACTCACAATCAAAGCACCCCTGACAGATGGCCACCCAGCTTGTTTAAAGACCTCCAACCACCACTCTCTGGGGGAGTGTGTCCCACTGTCCAACAGCTCTTACGCTCAGGAAGTTCTTCCTAATGTTGAGGTGGAATCTCTTTTCCTGTAGCTTGCATCCATTGCTTCATGTCCCAGTCTCTGGAGCAGCAGAATACAAGCTTGTTCCATCCTCAATATGACACCCCTTCAAATACTTAAACAGGGCTATCATATCACCTCTTAGCTGTGTCTTCTCCACGCTAAACATACCCAGCTTACTAAGTCTCTCCTCATAAGGAGTCACCATTGCATGTTACACCTTCCTTCAAAACTTCTGCCATGTGTGTATTTCCAAGCCAACTGCTATATAGGACAGCAACTGACTCTGAAGACATTTTTGCTCGCCTTTAAATTCATTATTTGATCCTAATCAAAGTGATCTGTTTCACTGTCACAGGAGACAGTGAATGAGTTGCAGTGCCCCTTCAGAAACCTCTCAGGAGAGATTGTGTGTGTAAACGCTTGTCACTCCCAATTAGACATATTTGAGATTAACCTTTACGTGTTACACAGGGTAAGCAAGCCTAGGCGGATTACAGAGCAGCATAGTCAGCACACTACCACCCATTCACTTGGCTCTCATTGGATCAAGTCCTTTCGGGGGCATAACATAGATATGTCAAAGTTAGTTAGCGTACTTGCCTACTCACAACTTTGAGCTTGTTACGTACCAGTGCAACTCTGACCAACCAGAGTTTGCAATCTCTCTCCCGGTAGTATTAAGGTCAACCAACAATGTCCAATTTGACAATTCACATGTGATTATAACAACGATAGAAGGGGAATTTGCAGTGCTGCAACCAACTCCAAAACTACAATGCCGATGTTCACATTTTTAATTCTAACAGTGTGCAATTCATAAATTTCTGATCATATATAGATTCCAAGTTATCTCACTTTGGACTCAGGAACCTAAATACTTTAGATCAGGGGTAGGCAACCTTTCCCCTTTAAGGGCCGAGGGACTTCAGCTCCCAGAAGCCCCAGCCATGTTGGCCAATAGTCCCATGTTGGCCAATAGCTCCTGGGATTCTGGGAGCTGAAGTCACTCGGCCCTTAAAGGGGAAAGGTTGCCTACCCCTGCTTTAGATGAAAGACCAGGATGAAACACTGGGGAAAAACTGTTCTCTGAGCACTGAGCTGAGAAGTTATATGTCCAGGGAACATCTCCTAAGCAGGTGGAGTTTCTCACACAGCATTATTTTCCTTGAGCATTTTCATATCTGAAAGTATCAGCTGAGCTGCACAAAAAAGCTCTGAACGTATTTTTTTCTCCTTTAAGAACACTAGGAAGGGTACCACCTGGGATGTCTGCTGTTAAAAAAAGGTATTTCCATGGAAACAGCAAATAAATTCAGAAATAATATGATTATTCTTCACAGAAGGAAGCTTTTCTTTTCTGGCACAAAGGAGGAACATGAGAACTTTTGAACATGGAATAGTTCCATACTCAGGGAAAGTCTATTTACATAGAAGGCAGAGACCCATTTCAGATGAAAGTCTCCTGGATTGCCTGTCCCCATTTGGTCCTCTTGTATTTTCCTTCTTCCACTCTTTCTCTTGCTAGCAATAGCCTCCCATTTCTGAAACAGTGGTAGCTGTCATGGTTTTCATGCTGAAGACTGCAACTAACTCTAACTCTAGTTACAGCCTCTGGTTTGAGAACACATATGGCCAGGTGAACTTAGTAGTGGAGGATTAATACTAAAAGTGATTGACCAGTCAAATTAGCAAGGATGGGGACTGTAGCCCAACATCTGGAGGGCCACATGTTTGAACGGACAATAAAGAGGCACTCGTATGCCTTGGGCAATGGCCTGACAACTAGGAAATGTAATGTCTAAACCAAGGCTGCTGTCACACTGCAGAATTAATGCAGCTTGACACCTGTTTAACTGTCATGGCTTTGTCTATGGAATCCTGGAATTTGGAAGTTGGTGTGGCACAGAGGCTAAATATTTCACAAAATGACAAATGCCAGGATTCTCCATTGAGCTAGGGCATTTAAAGTGGTGTCAATCGGCATTAATTGTGCAGTGTAGATGCAGCCCAAGCCAATACTTCCATGGCAACTGGACTTTTCTAAATTCACCTAAGACTGGGAATGAATTGAATTTCATCCAGTATTCTGACAGTTTTCATAGCAAAACAAAAATCCCTCTCCACCTAACTCCCAAGGTTTGCATAATCTTAGCTAACTGGGGCCTTATTTTATTGTCTGAATGTTTGCCCTGCCCAGACAGAAAACTCTCTTGGGATCTAGATTGCCTTTAGGCCTTTGCAGACTGCCAGAAATAGTGCACATTAAATTGAGGCACTGCCCTGGCTCAGTGCTAGGGAGTCATGGGAATTGTATTTTTTTCTGAGACATTGAGCCTTCTCTGTCAGAGAGCTCTGGTGCCACAATAAATTACAGTTCCGATGATTCCCTAGCACTGAGCCAGGGCAGTGCCTCAATTTAATGTGCACTATTTCTGGCAGTCTGCAAAGGCCCTTTGTCTCATTAAATTTTCCCCAGATTCTACTGAGCCACATTTTGCAGTTTAAATGCAACTAGGATTTCAAAGCAAAATCTAGACAATACCTATCAGGCAGATGTGCTATACTGTACTCTCAAGAGGCAGCTGTGAAGTCCTGAACTTGTATATTTATAATATAGAAAATAAGATAATATATTGCCATGCATCATTGTTGATGTTGTTGTGTATCCTTTAAGTAATTTCCTACTTATGGCAACCCTAAGATGACCCTTTCACAGGGCTTTCCTGGCAAGATTTGTCCAGAGCGGGTTTGTCTTTGCCTCCTTCTGAGATTGTGACTTGCCTAAAGTCACCCAGTGGGTTTCTATGGCCAAGCAGGGATTTGAACCCTGGCCTCCAAAGCCATAGTCCAGTGCCCAAACCACTACAGCACACTGGCTTTCATGATGCATCATACACATAGGTTAAGAACATGGTATGCTTGAGATAACTGGCGATTGACTGGAAGTTTCACTGTGCTTTTGAAAATCGAAGTATGTTAGTCACACTCAGAGCAGAGACAATTGTAAGAACAGTCACGTTTGGTCAGAATTAAGTTGGTCAGTTTGGGATAGGAGTCGCAGAGAGGGAGGTGAGAGCAAGTAGGTCAGTTCAGCTCTTTAAAGAGTCTGGGCTCAGATGTTTAAAGAGCAGAATCTAAGTTATATCTGAAGGTTAATTGCAGAATCATGCATATAAACATATAAGTAACTGTAACAACTAAGCTAAAACCACCTGTGTTTGAACAATAAGTAATGGTGAATAGTTTCATTATCTTCTTCTGTAAAATCATTTTATTTACGCACACCTTTCAGGGCTGCTGTGTTGAATTAGAGTATTGATAAGGTGAGACACAGTGGTAATCTGTGGTGACAGCAGATACATACACACTTGTGATTGCTTATCTTTGGTGACCAGCAGAGGTAGAGTCTGAAAAGGAATCCACACAGTGACAAAAGTGAATATTACCAAACTTAACAGCAAACATTTAACATTCAAAGGTGATAGTACAATCTGGACAATCAGAAGAACGTTATCCTCTGTGGTAACAATCATGGGATAAGTAGACATCCCCACAGTAGTCTCTGTGTAGTTATTTATTATAATTATAGCAAACTTTTTGTCACAATATGCTTTGACATTTCTATGTTGTAATTGTCACCATTTGGTGCCCGATTATTGATCTGAATAACTGCAGTCATGATGTGTGTGTGCATTGTGTGACAAGGCCAGGACATCTGGAGATAAATGTCCTTGGAAGGAGCCAGACCACTGATGGTGTATTGGACTGCACTTGTGAACGTATGGGTAAGCTATATGATGTACATGATATAATCCAGGGGTAGGCAACCTTTCCCCTTTAAGGGCCAAGGGACTTCAGCTCCCAGAGGCCTCAGCCATGTTGGCCAATAGTCCCATGTTGGCCAATAGCTCCTGGGATTCTGGGAGCTGAAGTCCCTCGGCCCTTAAAGGGGAAAGGTTGCCTACCCCTGATATAATGCATGAGCAACCCTGGACTGAGGTTGCATCAGCATAAGATATACAAGTCATAACTAAATGTAAGCAAGTGTGGGTCATAGCTGTGGAATCACTGCAGTGGAGAGTCAGTGCAGCAAGTTGGTGTATGTTTGAGAGCATTCTGAAGAGTTCTTGTATAGCTCCAAGTTGCTGTGAGCTTAGTAGGAAGTCTGTGTTGCTTACTTCAATCTTGGAACTCTACTCTTTCACCTTGAGCTGTCCGGTTTCGCTTCCTGATTTCAAGTGTATCTTGAGGTCCTGGCAGAGATACTGAAACACATTCATGCCTCACCCTCAGCGTGACAGTAATATGTGACTGAATGAAATGAGCTTGCAAACAATTATCCTGCAAAGAGTAAGACAGGGGTGAAAATCTTCTAATAGACTTTTCAAACACTTTAATTTGCTGATATGAAACACAAAAATCTGCTCAAAAGTACTAAAAAACATTGCACTGGAACATCAGCATCCACACTCAATAAAAGCTGAGTAACAATTGAATTGATAATTTAAAAAATCAAATTTGTAGAACTGCATGTGGTATAACACTTTAAATATTTTTTTTGAACTCAGCACCCAAAATACATTAAGAACAGCTACAATATTGAAAAAAGTTTTTTGCAGGCCTGTGTAATTATGCAATTAGTTTCAATACTTTTTTATGAAGAACATGTTGGCAACTATCCATAGCATTTGTGGATTGTAGCTCCACAGCTTTTGAGAACAGAACTATCCATGTTGCTCTGCAAGCAGTTTGGACTGTGATACATCAACTACTAAAGCCATGTTGAGTAGCCCACATGAATCCATTACTTGGTGCAGTTCCTCTCCATAAGTGTGTATGCTTACAGTATCTTCAAAGCCACCCACATGGCTGGTGAAACCAGAGCCACTGCCAAACCACAGACCAATTCACCTGCTGCTGGTTATTTAGTCTGGCTGCTAGGTAATTACCTCTTCAACTCTGACGAATGTGCATCCGTGTTGTGCTCACTGGTCATGTATCTAACAGCTTTACTTCTCACTGTGCCCACATATATGTTGTTTTGAATAAAAACCAACAATTGCCAGTATTCATGCTTCTCCACTTATATTGCTCGCAGCATGCTCAACATATTTAATGAGAAGTAGGAAGCACAATGGTTACAGTATGTTGCAGAAGCAATGGGAGGGCAGGATTCTTAGGCAGAGGTAACACATGAACAGTGGAAGCTCAGAAGCAGAAGGGTAATTGGACCCAAATTAACAAGGAAAACACTTTACTTGAAATGCTGCTGCCAAATGTTACAGGGAAGGGCTGATTGCAACTGAGAAAAGCCAAGCAGGTGGCCACAGCTAAAACAAAGATGGGCAAAATCAGCCAAGAAGGGAGAAGGAAAAGGAGAAAGCAGCTGCTGGTTCAAGTGGTGCTCCTAATGGATAAAATAGCTAAAACACAGAAGGACCATGCAGAAGATGGAAATGGAGGCATGTTTTTTTAAAAGCAAAAATGTGTTTTCAGCTATAAATGCATGAAGAGATTTTACTCAGTATGGAAAAACTAGTTCAAAGGGGGGGGGGGGGAGAAATAATCTAACATTCCAAGGAAGCTCAAAATATTTATTAGCCAAAAGAAAATCCTTTTTAAAAAGGAAGAATGTGTTTACATAGAAAACGAGTCCATTAAATAACTCCTTAAATTAAGATGATAATTTCTCCAGCAATGCTTTTGTTGCTGTTGCTTCATCTTTAGTCCTTTTTAGTTTTGGAATAAGACTTTTTAATCCAACTTTGACTTGAGTCACCACTTCTTCGTCTGAGCTCTGAAGAAGGCTGTAAAAGACCAAGAAAATTTCAGTAACAAAATCAAAATAAAATGTTATGAGCAGCAATGAAAGATAAATAACAGAATAGATCTGCTTTGTCAAGCCTCAAATTGGGGTTATCACTTCCTAGCAAGGAACTATAGAGAGCACATCTGGGCATGACAATTCAGCATGAATGACAATTTACTGAATGCTGTGGAATTCCAGGAATACCTATTCTTTAAAATAAGACCAGGCTTGCTAAGTGCCTCTTATTATAATGGATGTCCCTTATTTCAGGGATAAAAAACATTTCCTCTTTTACAGATGGAACAAGATGCCAAAAAATCCTGTATTTTGGCTTGTGGGCCCTTCATAGACAGAAATGTAATTAACAAACGTGGAAATTTATTAATTTTACAGAAAAATACAGGGCTAAGATAAATGAAATCAATAAAAGTTCAGCAGCTCTTATCCAGAATTCCAAAGTCCAAAATAGTCCAAAATTGTCCACATGGGTAGCTGAGATACTGACACTTTTGCTTTCTGATGGTTCAGTGTACAAACTTTGTTTCATCTACAAAATTTTTAAAAATATTATGTATAAAATTGCCTTCAGGCTATGTGTATAAGTTGTATACAAAACATAAGTGAATGTCATGTTTAGACTTGGGTCCCATCTCCAAGGTTTCTCATTATGTATATGCATATATTCCAAACTCCAAAAAACTCAATACTCCAAAACACCTCTGGCCCCAAGCACATCAGACAAGGGAGACTTAACCTGTACTTTCATTTGATATTTGGGTAGAACATAAACTTGTTAGTAGAGACTTCCTGATCATCAGTCCTGCATGTCATAAATTTAGACTGTCCCTTGTTGCTATTTTGAAAAACTGGCAACCCTAAATGAAAGACAGCTGCTTCTCTCTGTGTGTCTTCCCAACAAATTGTTCCATTAGGTCAGGGGAAGGCAACCTTTTTAAGACCTAGGCCGGTCTCCCGTAGCCCAGGTCTCGGCTGGGCCGAGGTCTGTCGCCACGCATGTCCTCCCCATGTACGCTGCCGCTGCGGACGTTGCTGCCGCGCATGTGGCTGCCGCCACGACGCATTTGCGCATGCGCAAGAGTACTGCGCAAGTCACAAAGCTAGATTCAATTAGGTAGGTCATAGGCCTGAATAAGCAGAGCAGCAGAATACAGGGGGGGGGGGGTTGGAGATGCCTCATCTATAGGATTGCCATGGGTTAGGGTTGACTCGAGGGCAGTTAACAACAAAAATAATCTGTGGTCATCTTTTTTGTTATCTGATTGTTTAGCTGTAAACCTGCCTTTGCATCTTATTCCTTGGCTTTTGTTCCAAGACTTTGCTATTTTCTGATAGTCCAAAATAATCACAATCTGGCTGCAGGCTGCAATGCCTCCCAAAGGACTGGCAGTGAGATGCAGGATGGTGGGCTGTTGCTGGGGTCGGGAGTCCTCTCTTATGTCTCCTGTTAAGTCTGCTCTGTCTTATGGTGTCTGTCACAGGGTTTTCTTGACAAGGTTTATACAGAAATGGTTTGCTGTTGCTTTCCTCTAAGGCCAAGAGCATGGGTATTTCAATGGCTGAGTGTGGATTTGACCACTGGTCAAGAGAATCCCATTCCAAACCACTAAACCACACTGACTCCTAGTGCCTCCTTTACATGCATTCACCTTTGCACAAATACCAATATAATGTTAATTAAAAATGCACTCTTATACCATGTTAAGTAGCTCCTTTGCACTGATATCGCCCAGTTTCATTCTCAAATATCTGACAGGGTAAGCAGCTGAAAGAAAAGTAGTCTGGCCAATGGACAGTAAAAAGACCCTTATCAAGGGGGGGGGGGGTTTGTTGCGAGAGTGAGAGATACTGGATTATGGAGTCTGCATTTTGAAGAGCCAGGGAAACTTATTTTTCAGAGAGAAGAATAGCACTGATAACAGAATTAATAGGGTTGAAAATAGGATGAAACCATGTCCCAGGCAGTGTTCTAAGAAAACTACCCAAACCAGTTTGCAGAACTTTCCCACATTTAAGTGTTTAGTGGCCAGTAGCATCTTGTTCTATGGAG